CAGTTATTCTAATGTTCCAGTAGTCATTAGTCACACTGTTATTCCTTACCACATTTATCAACACCCAAGACCTTAATATCATCTGCATATTGAAGTAATTTGTTGACTATTCCTTCATCTATGTCATTGATGTAAATCAAAAAGAACAAAGGTCCTAATACTGAGCCCTGAGGTATCCTACTTGTAACATTAATCCAGTTTGACTGAACTCCATTTGTAACAAACCCCTGCTTTCTTCCATCCAGACACTCTTCTATCCAATTTGCTAACTTATCCCCCCCACACATATAGAGCTATTTTCTTTTACAAGCCTTTTATGTGGTACCTTGTCAAATGCTTTCTGAAAATCCAGATACACCAAATCTACATATGCAGTAACCTTTTCAAATAATGTTAAAAGATTTGTAAGGCAAGATTTTTTTTTTAGTGAAACCATGTTGACTATCCAATAAAATTCTAAACTTTGTTAAATGGCTTTGCAAATCTTTTCCCACAACTGATGTAAGACTAATGGGCTCTCAAGTTAAACCTCAAGTTTTGTTCTTAATATTCTTTTTTTATATTTTGGTACAGTTTGGAGATTCCCAGAAACTTCGACTTGTTCGTATCTTGCGTAGTACTGTTATGGTGCGTGTGGGTGGTGGATGGGTTGCTTTAGATGAGTTCTTGGTAAAGAATGACCCGTGTCGAGGTAAGATTTTTTATTATGTTAAAGTAGTATCTGCTATGGAATATTTTTTATACATTTTTGGTGATTGTAATTCGTAAGTTTTAAAATTAATGACACAGAATTCTCTGCTTCAAGCTATATTTATTAATACTCTTATTTCTTTCTCTCACAAAGTTTTTTTTAAACCTGCTGTTTGTGTTTTATTTACAAATACTTATTACTACCCAGAGATATCTATAACAATTTACTGAAAAAATTCAGGTACTGTTACATAAGCTCATTCTTGCCATTGTGACTAATAAGGAACGATAAGTATGTTAATATAAAACACCATAAAAATGTCTAATAAAGAACGAAAAGTATTCGTTTTTATGGTGTTTTATATTAACTTTATTGGTCGTTTTTATGGTGTTTTATATTAACATACTTATCGTTCTTTATTGGGTATGTTAATATAAAACACCATAAAAACGACCAATAAAGAACGATATGTATGTTAATATAAAACGACCAATAAAGAACGATATGTATGTTAATATAAAACACCATAAAAACGACCAATAAGTATGTTAATATAAAACACTATAAAAAGACCAATAAGTATGTTAATATAAAACAGCAAAAAATCGACCAATAAAGAACGATAAGTATGTTAATATAAAACACCATAAAAACGACCAATAAGTATGTTAATGTAAAACACCATAAGAACGACAAGTATGTTAATATAAAACACCATAAAAATGACCAATAAAGAACGATAAGTATGTTAATATAAAACATACTTATCTCTCTCTTCTTTACCGTATAGCATCCTTGGAGAAAATGATAAAAATAAGCAGGAATTTATCTCCACAGAAATGTACAGGTAAAATATAAGGTTGTGGTTTTTTTTGTGTGAAAATGTCTGTACCAGATCCCATCCCCATCAAACCACATGTTATCTTTCTTTATCAAACCACATCTCAAATTCGCACAGACTTGTGTCAAAGTTATACGTCCAGCACATACCCAGAAATGTGTCCCATTTAATATCCTCCTCATGTAAGCTGGTCCGGGAACCACGATCTTCCCTGTCCTTTTTTTACAAATTAGAACAGTATGGTTATTTATTAAGAGTGATGGAATTATGCATACGTGATCTTTTTTATTCGAACTTTATTATTTAAAGTGAACATTTTGTAATGGGTTAAGAGAGTGGCCATGCTGGAAATAGCTAGATGTCAGCCAAAGAAGAACAAGCAGTCTTGTTTTAAGTATTGTAGAAACCACGTTTATGAACAGGATATGAATTAGAAGTAATAGAACACTTAATGAAAAACAAAACTGAAGTAAAGTTTTATATCTCATCTGCACAATTTTACTAAATACTAAACTAAACATTTATGGGGTTTACATACACCAAAAGTTGATGTTTGACGTTAGGCTTATCGTGTAGGACTTACAGAATTTGGCACTTAAGACTAGAAAAGCTTCCATCATCTCATAATATTCTGTAAGATGTGATGTTTTTCGTGATATGTGACTTTGAAGTGTTTGTCCTTCCTCTGAAAGTATTGACTGGAAAAACCTCCATATTAATGAGCCTTCAGATCCTGATCAAGTTAAAAGTTAAGCCTAATTCTCATCATTGTTAAACGTATTTCTCCTTCATGGAACAGCACTTTTCTTGTGGATCATCTTTATGAGAGCATTTCCTGTTAATCTTATTTGACTTGTTTTAATTTTGTGTTATTATCCAGCTTCCCATAAGGTGTATGATTTCTGTTTGAAATATGTACAACATTAAACCATTCTGTTTTATAATGCATGGAATTTGGTGTTAGAAATTATACTTGCTAATGAAAACAATTTATGTAATTTCATCAAATATATAATGCCTTTTTTGTATACAATATCAACTTAACTGGTATTGCATGTAATGTGGAATGTTAGTTAGTTCTATGATACACTAGGATTTTTGATCTAACATTTTTGTTTTACACATTAAAAGAATGCATGTAAGATGGAACACAGCATGAGTTGATTCCAACATGCACGAGGAATTATTGTTTGTTTTGTTTTGTTATATATATTTTTGCTTGAGTAGCTATTATCGTAGCAGTTATTAGCTTTCTGTACCAGTTTGTAAGTATAATTTGAAAATCAGCATCCATTTGGCTGTTTTATGTTTTGCATGCTGGATTTGTTGTAGCTAAAGGACGCACGAACTTGGAACTGAGAGAACAGTTTATTCTGGCCCAAGGAGTCAGCCAATCACTGTCACCATTTAAACCCAAGACCAGTCCTAATGCTTCTCAGTCCTCCCAGAGCGGCAGCTCGGTCGGCCGCTCGGCTCCCTTGTCTGCTACTGGCCCTATCACTAAGGTTTGATTTCCTTCACTTAATATGATTAAAGTAAACACTAAGAAATGTTCTTTTTTAACAAAATGTCTAGTGTCATCACTGTTACACCTAAAATGTCTAGTTTGTCGTCACAGTTACATCTAAAATGTCTATTTTGTCGTCACTGTTACATCTAAAATGTCTATTTTGTTGTCACTGTTAGATCTAAAATGTCTAGTTTGTCGTCACAGTTACACCTAAAATGTCTAGTTTGTCATCACAGTTACATCTAAAATGTCTATTTTGTCATCACTGTTACATCTAAAATGTCTATTTTGTTGTCACTGTTAGATCTAAAATGTCTAGTTTGTCGTCACAGTTACACCTAAAGTGTCTAGTTTGTCGTCACAGTTACATCTAAAATGTCTAGTTTGTCGTCACAGTTACACCAAAATGTCTAGTTTGTCGTCACATTTTCACCTAAAATGTCTAGTTTGTCGTCACAGTTACACCAAAAATGTCTAGTTTGTCATCACAGTTACACCTAAAATGTCTAGTTTGTCATCACAGTTACACCTAAAATGTCTAGTTTGTCGTCACAGTTACATCTAAAATGTCTAGTTTGTCGTCACAGTTACATCTAAAATATCTAGTTTGTCGTCACAGTTACACCTAAAATGTCTAGTTTGTCGTCACAGTTACACCTAGACACTTGCCACATGAACTAACAGAAAAGTATTTACCAATAAAATAATTTAATATTCAAATATTAAGTTTTTTCTAAATTAGCTTCACAATAAGTAAATATATGACATAAATATGAGTTAAATGTGATGTGTTTTAGCTTCATGTGTTTCTTTTTTTTAACTGAACTTGCTGTACACTATGTTGAATTCATCTGATTTTAGAATGTGAGTTTCTGTTTGAGGTGTTTCATACTTTTTGATTCATTCTAAAACATTATACAGATCTTTATTTCCTTCTTCTGTATGCTGAGTGCCTCTAGGTCACGTATTCTTATCCATCTGTTTAATAACAGACTGAATTTTTTCTCTGCTTTCTTCACATTTGTGGCTGTATATGTCAGTCTTCAAACCTGCTGTACTTTGCTGTTTTCTGTCATATTTATGATCCTTTGCAACTTATTGTAGATGCACAAGATTTACTTTCCGTTGTTTCTAAGTTCCTTTACTGTTTCTCATTGTTGCTGGCTGCACCCTGTATCTCTCTCTTCAGCTAATCTGGTTTAATTGTGCTATATTGATGTGTGGTTTCATTTTTATTATTTGTAATGCATTCCATTATATGTGTGTTTCTAATTTTGTCAACCTTACATTGGTATAACCTAACCACATCTTCTGATTATCCTCCTTGTTACTTGAAGTTAACTCATAGAAGTTCATTATTTTCCTTTCAATATGTTGTGTTTAAAATGTTAAACGTTATGGTTGTTATAGATCCGTGAAAAGAGCGAAAGAAGCGTACCCATTCGTCAGCGACGTGCTTCAGGAACAACAGGAAGCACTACAGATTTGAATAGCTCAAGTTGTCATGATGGAGACCAATCTGGAAGATCTGGCAGAATACGCACACCCACAACTCCCAACCGACTGACACCTGGTAGTTACTTTGTTTGTGGTGTATGAATAATATCATTAAAACTAGTACTAATAATTCTGTGGAGTAACATTATGTCGTTAACAAATTTGTCAAGTGTAGGCTCATGTCTAGAACTGAAGTCTAATGTTTAAAAAAAAAAAACATTTCTTTATCTATGAATATGATAATTAAGTAAATTGTGTGATTTCTAAATCAAAAAATATATCACAGTTTTGAACTATTAAGTTACTTAAAAGCTTTACCAACAAATGTATGACAGAAAATTGTTATAACAGTGGGTCCAAGTACCCTGCTCTACTACCTGTCCTGTTAACTGTAACAGTGGGTCCTAGTACCCTGCTCTACTACCTGTTCTGTTAACTGTAACAGTGGGTCCAAGTACCCTGCCCTACTACTTGTTCTGTTAACCGTAACTGTGGGTCCAAGTACCCTGCTCTACTACATGCCCCATTAACTGTGACAGTGAGTCCAAGTACCCCTCTCTACTACCTGTCCCATTAATTGTAATATTCTAGTAACTTTAGGATTATCATTTCTCATTATTTAATTTTTTGTTATATAGTTTATGTAAGGCATTAAAAAACGGTTAACAGAACAAGTAGTAGAGCAGGATACTTGGACCCACAGTTACGGTTAACGGAACAAGTAGTAGAGCAGGGTACTAGGACCCACTGTTACAGTTAACGGAACAAGTAGTAGGACAGGGTACTTGGACCCACTGTTACAGTTAACAGGACAGGTAGTAGAGCAGGGTACTAGGACCCACTGTTACAGTTAACAGGACAGGTAGTAGATCAGGGTACTTGGACCCACTGTTACAGTTAACAGGACAGGTAGTAGAGCAGGGTACTTGGACCCACTGTTACGGTTAACAGAACAAGTAGTAGAGCAGGATACTTGGACCCACAGTTACGGTTAACGGAACAAGTAGTAGAGCAGGGTACTAGGACCCACTATGCTGGTATTAAAGTACTGAAGTCTAACGTGGGTATATGTAACAAATGAAATTATATTTGAATTATTTAGTTCAGTAGGTTCCTCACTAAACCTTAACTGTTGTTTATTGTGCAAGATGTACATTAGAAAAGTTTCAGTTGCATAAGTATAAAACAAAAAAGTATATAGAAAAATTATTTTGAAGTAGCATTTTCTATCAGATATATCCTAATTTACAACAGGTCCCAAGTCGTCTAGTCGTCCTCCAAGCCGAAGCAGCAGTCGACCACCCAGTCGAGCAGGAAGTGACCTCTCGGCAGAGAGTGTGGAAGCTTATCGCGGGCGAAAGCGATCGAGCAGTACCACCAGAGTACGAAACCCCACTGTCTCTTCTACACCCACAGGGAACTAAAGGCACTCCTACTACTAAGATCCCCACGGTTCGAAGATCTTCTTCTACCGCTTCACCTAGGAGACAACCTGATACTGTTAAGGGTCGAGAACGTTGGAAGTAAGACTGTCGTGAAGATGGTCTGGTGATGGTGATTTTTATAAAGTGAGTCTGCAGTAGCGACTGCAATCATCCAACATATGTTAAACCTAACGCTGCAACTACTTAATGCCTTTTCTTGAAGGTTTCAAGTTTCTGCTGGTGAAGGTAATAATTGTTAAGTAGTTGTGCTGACCCCCACTAACTGTTCACATAGTTCTTGTGTCAATTTAACATTCCATCAACGTAAATTTTTCTAGATGTTTAGTCAATATTGTAAATTTTGATGCTGTAGTAAATTGTTAACATACCTTGAAGGTAGTTTATTTTTATCATTGAAACTAATTGTAAGTGTTGGCTCCTGTTCATTTGTTACGTGTCAGAATCTCAGCTTCAATGGTCAACAATACAATCAAAGTTAATATGTTATGTAGATCAGTGTTATGTAAGTACTGTTTCTGTGTTTTGTCAATAATAGATTATTGTGACTAGCCTGTATTGCTTTTGTGTTAGATGCAATTAAGAATAGAGCATTAAATAAGTTGATTTAGCAATATTGTGTACTCGATCATGTGCCAAGAATCTGAAGACTGGATGTTGTACACAATACGGAGTAATCTTAACTATTATATAAAGCTTTTCCACTTGATATAAATTATTAATGCTGTGGTAGGGATTACCATAACCTGAGTGTGTATTTAATTAGTGGTTTTATTGAGTGTAATAATAATATTCTGTTTCTTTCAAATAAAGATATTCACTCTGTTAATGTAAGCTGTGGTTTAAGAAGCAATGTCTACAATACATTACAACGATTGGATTAAACCTTCGTGGTGCTGTAATGCAGAGTTTCATGGGTATTGGAATAACCTATAGTAATGGAAGATGAAGCTTTAATAAAGGATATTTAAGTCTACAATAGAACATGCAAGTTGTACACTTCCTAATTACACGGTCTTCTTCCAATGTTTAACCATACAAGATTCTCGTGAAAGATACGTTTTGATGTACACAGCTAACTTTCGTTTTTAAATATTTTTATATTTCACCTGAAATGTACAACAAGAACTATCTAACTATTAACAAAAGTTACAAACTCCAGAGGAGATAGTATAACCAGAGAATTATCAGAAAAAGCTCTACCAGGTTTATATTTACTTCCATACAATGTTTAAACTTCTGAAGGTGCTGGATCCACTGAAGATGAAGGTTTGGGTTCAAACTCGTACCTTTCTGCTGCCTTGTTCTTTCTGTGAGAAATACAAATTTCTAGATGTAAGTAAAATATATGAGTTGGTAAATTAGAAGGTGGTATCACCAAGTAAAAGAAACGGGGGTATGGAGAGATGCTGCCTGACCCATCCTGTGGTCAACAGTATATGTAGTAAGTTAAGTTCTGGTGGATATGGCTAAAAAAATTGAGTACATTTAAAAATACTAAAGAGTTAGAGTTTGTGAATAGGTATTAAAGAAATTAGTAGAGCTTACCGACGTAGTTTCAGAATGATGACCACAATTATAACGTTTCCAACAAGTAGTGCTATCATTAAGATAGAGGGCACCCAGATATCTGTGAAATGAGAAACCAGTTAATATAACATTGTACTGCACCAAGTTAGACAGAAGAAATTAATTTAAGATTTTGTAGTTTCTGTAACAACAAAGATATTACATATTGGGATCGAGAATTCAACAAAACATGTAATAACATATACATTACTGAATCTTCAGATCTGTATTAACACCTACCTACAATTAATGAACTTTGATCATACTCCGGAACTGGATCATCTGTTGGGGGGTCATCACTGACCGAATCAATAATGACTGGTTGGTCATTCGTCATATTCAAATTATTAGAAATATGGTGAAGTTTGCTTTTGTTTTCAGTTTCATTTTGATCTTTTATTGCTGAAATAATAAATAAACCAAGTTAGATGAACTTTTTGTATAATTCAATACCACTGTGATACTACTACCATGCCTAAAAAACTAATTTAATAAAAGCAATCTCATTTAGACCACAACATTTTCTTCTTCAAGAACTGACTTTTCGTTTGAAATTAAGGTATGGTGTTTGTGTTTCCTGTAGTAATAAATCAAAGATTTTGTAGTAAGTAAGATAAAATAATACTGACAATTTCTAATTAACTTGAACAGCAAGTGATAAATGGCTTAAAGTACTGAATCAGTAAAGTATATTTAATGTGTAAAGTCTTGACACCAGAGGCACTGCAAGCAATCTCCCGAACAATTTTTAGGCTTTCCGTCATAACGTTTCAGATATTGTTAGACGGCTATTAGATGAATTTACCAAACCAGGTGTCAGATGTTCATAAATTGCAGATAAAACTTAAACTTCAGTGACCCAATGAAATGACACGTACTGATATTGATAATTTGTCGTCATTGTACACTTCACACCTCTTGTATGCCAGGCAAGTGCTTCACCCAGTGAGCTAACTGGTTAGTTCGCTTTTTATCAACTCAAACTACTAACATAGTTTTAACATTTTATCACCAGTTGTTTTATTATTCAAAGACTTTTCAGTCACTGTAAGTTTAAATTTTTTAACCCACACGACCAGTAACTAATATACCAACAACCTTATATCATCACACAGTGAACCTACACTTCTGACAACGGTTTCTAGAGTATATAATGATAAGTACATCGCAAAGTAAAAAAATCAGTTCATTATGAAACGTCATCTAAAGTACAAAACTTAGGATGGTCAAAGAGATGTATGTTGTGAGAACAAGATATGTTTTATAAAATAACATATTGCTATTAGTTGTTTTACAATGACATTTTGGTATTTTTGAAGGTAAATTTGGTCTGTGCACATGTTTTATTTCATTTCATTCCCATTTTACAATTTGTAGTTTTTATTCACATACAAGCATAAGCTACTATATATACAAACATAAACTACTATATATACAAACATAAGCTACTATATATACAAATAATAAGCTACTATATATACAAACATAAGCTACTATATATACAAACATAAGTTACTATATATACAAACATAAGTTACTATATATACAAATATAAACTACTATATATACAAACATAAGCTACTATATATACACAAGCATAAACTACTATATACACAAGCATAAGCTACTATATATACAAGCATAAGCTACTATATATACAAGCATAAGGTACTATATATACAAACATAAGCTACTATATATACAAACATAAGTTACTATATATATACAAGCATAAACTACTATATATACAAGCATAAGCTAATATATATATACAAACATAAGCTAGTATATGTACAAACATAAGCTACTATATATACAAACATAAGTTACTATATATACAAACATAAACTACTATATATACAAACATAAGCTATTATATATACAAACATTAGCTACTATATATATATACAAACATAAGTTACTATATATACACAAGCGTAATCTACTATATATACAAAC